TAATTGACCCCCACTCTTACCAAAGTGACACGAGCCATAAACTATAGGGACTGTTAGTATACTTCGCCTAAGTTTTAATGTTGTCTCTATATACACCATTATTTTTCAAATAATACCAAATTATCCCCTTCTCTAGCAAACCCTAACTCTAGCTAATTCATTGTCGGCCATCAGTTACTACTCTTTTCCTTCCGATTAATGCCTACTCCACAACATCAATTTCCTCCCGTCGTAACCTCCCTCTTCTCTTGCCGCAACCAGCACTTACCTAGTCGTGTTGTCCCTCTACCACCCCTCTCCCATCCCTGTGACCCCTACCCCTCATTTTTCTTATTCTTTTCATCATCGAGATCTGAAAACCTTTGAGTTTTCTTTCTTTCTCTCTACAGTAGAGAAAAGTATGGGACTGCATTGCGATGATGAAAATGGGGAGCTGGTTCGCGATGGCTGAGGCGAGGGCAAAGTTGTTCGAGATAACAGGAACGGGGTTGTTTTGCGGTGGTGAAAAGTCGTTAGTGGCTGCAATGGTGATTGGGAAGGGTTGTGGTGGTGGTGGTAGTGGCTGGCAATGACGGTCGGAGGTAGGAATTAGACAACGGAAGAGAGAGGCAGTCACCCATGGTGATGGTGGGGTACAGGGAGAGTGTATTGAGAGATTAAGATTGTCTAAAATGGTAATTTGATTAAGGGACAAAAATGTAATAAAAACTATAGTGATGGTGTATATTGAGAGAGATTGTGGTGGTGTGCAAATAGAATTACCCTTAATTGTTTTTCAATATAGACCTTAGTGATGAAAATGGGTGGCACTAATAGTCTTCACTTTTTTTCTAAGGACCTCTATTTTTTTGAATCCCTACTTACAAAATTTAAACATTGATAAAAATTTTAAGGATCCGTATATAATATCAAAACTATCTCTCATCCAAAATATTATACACCCACCTAAACTGTCATTACAACCCCATACCGATTTTCCCCCCAATATCTCATCAACACAAAGCCCATAAACAAATGAGAGTGGAGAAAAGGAAAAGAAAATCTTGAGAGATTGAAACCTAGATAATGAAAATGAGCCTTCCTCACAGAGATGGGAAGTTTCTGACGGTGGTCGTCTCTGTATACACAAAAAGAAAAAAAGAAAAAGAAAAAAGAAGTCCATGATTTTATCTCCATCTCCAAAAATCATTAACCCTTTGGGTGTGTGTTTGTATGTACTCGGTATCTGTATTTTTTTATCTATATATATGCATATTTATGTTTGGTTTTCTTTTAACCTTGCAGTAACCACGAATAAGAATACTATATGCTACAACAGTAGGCAACAAATGCTGGTTGAAAGCACAATGGAAGGAAAGTGCCCAAGTCTTAAGACTGGTCATGTAGCACTTGTGTCCTTCAAAGCTTTTGGGAAGTGTATTTGAATCCTTTATTTTATTTTGGAAATCTTTGGTGTTGTTGTATCTTGGTTTTGGAGGAGTACAAATTGATTTGAACGGGTTGGGATTGTTCGTTCACACTTGTTTATGTTGAAAATTTTTTGGGAACTTAGAAATTCTATTCTAGAGTCGACACCAGCCTTGTTGAGGGTCGACCCTTACCTGTTGGTGAAGTTTCTGGAAGTGTTGCGGGAATTTAGGTTCGACACCAGCCTTGGTGGTGTCGATACCTGCCTCTTGTTGCTGTCTACAAGTGTCGACACCAGTCTGGGAAGGGTTGACCCTTATATATTGCAGAATCTGTGTGTTAGTTGTTGGAAATTAGTGTCGACCCTTCATGTCTAAGGGTCGACCCCTTGCTTGCTACCAGATTGTCTTTTCTACCTGAAGGGTCAACACCTCTGCCCGAAGGGTCGACCCCTGTGTGTTTTTTTCCAGAATTTTGGGGTTTGAATGGGCCCTACCTTTGGGGGGTTTTGGGCCTATTATTTTACTTGACCGTAGGGTTATTTTTCTACTACTATAAATAGACCCAAACCGCTTCTCTCTCATTATTTTCCTCCCATTATATGGAGGAGTGCACACCACTTAAGCAATACATATTATGATGTTAATTATATTATTTTTTTTACTTATTTAAATTGCACACACATCGCGTGTGCTAACCGCTAATCCTCATAAAATTCATTATCTGCTCTAATAACATATTAACTTATTAACTAGTTATTTATGTAAAAATTTAAATTATTAAGAGATTTTACTAGCAAGTTAAGCCAAACTTGAGGTTATTTGAACCTCCCCAAAAGCTTTCTATTGTAAGAGGAAGTTCTTACAAATTTCCTCTTTTAAATTTTATTTTATTTTTTTGTATATATAGATCAATGTATTCATCATTTAAAATTTGAAGTATTTAATTTTATTCTCACCATCAATCGTCATCTATAATTAAACAGAAGTTGTTGATATGACCCTCAAATTTCATTTTACCTTCCAAACTATTTCTAAAATAACAATTAGACCCCTGGACAAAATGAAATTTGAGGGTCTAATTAATATTTTATAGATAATTTGGAAGATAAAATGAAATTTTAAATGAAAACATGATGCCAAGTCAGCAAATTCTATCTGATCATAGACAACAGTTGACAGCGGGGTGAAATTGATTCAAAATTGAATGGTTTATGTGTAATATTCATATAATCAAAAGAATGGATGTTGAATTGATTTTGAGTGATAGTTTGGGGGCAAAGTAAAACTTTCTTCACATTGTTTAAAGGGGGGTTGAGCTTCGTCGTGGAATCTATTACAAGTTCCATTTCAATGATCCGAATTATTTATTTTGTAGGGTCTTTAATGTATATTATTTATACAAAAAAATTAAGTTGAACTAATAATCATAACATTTTTATTTTATTACTTTTGTTTTCAAAAAATTAAACAAATATTTTTATTAAAATATACTATTTATTTTTTTAGAAAAGTAAGATAAAATAAAAAATATTATAATTATTAAATCAATTTAATTTTTTTATAAATAATATACACAAAAAAAATTATAAAATAAATAATTCAAATTATTAAAATAAAACTCATAATAAACTCTATAAACCAAAATGGAACTGTAATAAAATCCACCAAGTAATGTTAGGGATCATGAAAAAAATATTGTGAAGAAGATCATGAAAGATTCTCTATCGTTAGATTACACATATAACAAAACACCTCATACTAATAAAAAAATTTCATAAAATATTTTATAATATTTCTTTTTCTACATATAGGTTTGAGTGTTGTGTTTGGTAACAATTTTCAAACATTGATTCCACATCCACATTTGAAAACATGTTTGCCCGGTCATCCCCCCAAATGTCCCCCCGGACGACGTCTGGCTGGTTGACCAAAAAATTTTAAAAAACAACTCAAAACTCAAAATACAACTCAAAACTCTTTTCAAAACTCATAACCAAATAAATTTTCTCTTTTCAAAACTAATGACTCAAAACCCGACTCTGCACTCAAATCATGATTCTAAAAATAATTTTAATAAACAAAAAAAATATATTTTTTAAAAATAGAATTTTGAAATGAGTTTGGTTTTAAATTTTGAATTGAGTTTTGAGTTGTGTGTTTGATTATGAGTTTTGAAATTAATTTTTGAATTGAGTTTTGAGTAATTTTGAGTGGTGTGTTTGGTTATAAAACGCTTTTATAAAATCATTTTTGTATTAAAAGTATTTTTGGTCAAAAAATATTTATGTTGAAAACATAAATTAAATTAACCTTTAATTTGAAAATACAAGTATCACATCCAATTATAAAAAATTCTAATTATCTTTCTAAGCACAAAAATTTTAATTTACTAAAGTAGGCAAAAATTAAAATAGCCTATTAAAATAACAATTTTCCAAACCTCCACAATATATGTTTTATATAGGGTTTGTTTGGGATGTGGGTTGACTTTTTAACTATTTTAGTCTGTGATTAAAAAGTCTCGTTTATGAGACTTTTGTGAAAGAAAAAATAAAATAATTATGATTTGGATATAACATTTTGCGAGTGTTTGGGAAGTTGCTATTTTAGTAGGCTATTTTAGTTTTTGACTATTTTAGTAGGTTATTTTAGTTTTTGACTATTTTAGTAGGTTAAAATTTTTGTGTTTGGGAAGATGGTTGGATTTTTTTGGGCTTGGATGTGATGTTTGTGAGATAAAATTAAATGATTATGGGTTTGATGTGATATTTTATCTTATTAACTATTTTAGTCTAGTTTGTCTTTTTTGTAAATTTTAGCCTAAATTAAGCAAAAATCCCACTTCCCAAACAGTCCCTTTGTCTTATTGAACTAAAAAATTTATTTTATCTTTCTGTGAATATTTTAGCCAAAAAATCTCTATTTAACTCATGCCAAACAGGGGCATAATAAGTAATTGAATGTGGAATCTTGATGAGATTTATTGGAGTATTATATGGATCATGCTTTGTCTGTGTTGTAATTTTTTAAAAAAGCCCATCTTTTGAATGCATTGGAATTGTTGCTCTCAACAACCTTCACATGGAAAACAAATATAAAATGATTTTTCTAAAGTTGTTTTTTATTAAAAATATTTTTGAAACTCATCTTTGAATGTATTAGAATTGTTGCTCTCTCTCTATCTCATCTTTTGGTTTCCAAGTCCAACAACCTTCCCACATGGAAAACAAATATAAAACGATTTTTCTAAAATCGTTTTTGTATTAAAAATATTTTTGGTCAAAAAATAGTTATGTTAAAAATATAAATTAAAAAAGAAATTTAGTGTAAATCAAAACCATTTGTAATTAATTCAAAATTAATTAAAACTTGACTTTTTCAAAGCCGATTTTCTATCTTCAAATTTTTTTATTATTTTAAACACAAGATACAGCTTTTCAAAAGTCGTTTTCTGAAAAACGATATTGCTAAAGTCGTTTTTATAAGAATAAAAATAGAAAGTGGGAATAAAATTCAGATATCCAGGTATCTTTCCATAGCCTCGACTGGGGACAAAAAAAAATTTTGGATTTTTTCTTGATTTTCCCAGAAATGGCTACCATGAAGAAAAGGTTTGTGATTTACTGGTGGATTAGCGGGTGCATTCCATTCCAAGCAGATCAAGCAGAGCTTCATGCCATCCGTATCTTGGATGGGCTTACTGCAAAGGGCTTCATCGAGCCTATCTACAAAAATTGTGGATTGATTGTGGATAGCTACAGGATGCCCCCTGCCATTCGTTGTGTTTTAACCACTGAACCAACAGTTGATCGGTTTGGTGATTTGACGTATCGAGGCCTCACCTTTTGGTACGGCAGCATCGTCAACGTTGATGCGGCTATTATTGATGGAAGACATGAAATTATTTTCAAAAGGTGCACCGATTTGAAAGTTGTTTACTTGGGAAGGTGGCAGAATTCGGTCACGCATCACATTGAAGTCTCAGACATTAAAATTCTCAATTTTCTCAAGAATATGAAACAATTGAGGGTTCTTAGCCTTCGAGGAATTTCATTGATTACAGAGCTTCCTCAATTCATTTCACAACTGACTGGTCTTAAAACTCTAGATCTCAAATCGTGTCACAACCTTGAGGTGGTTCCAGATTGGATTGGCTTGCTTGAAAATTTGACACACTTGGATATATCTGGGTGTTACCTTTTAGATCACATGCCCAAGGGGCTTGGTGCACTATCTAATCTTGAAGTCCTTAAGGGATTTATTATTAGAGATTCCAATGATGAAAAGTCATGTACTATCAATAATTTGACAAAATTGTCAAATCTACGAAAATTGAGCATATCTGTAAGTATGAAAGAATTTCCAACAGATCTGCAGCTTCATCATTTACAAAGATTATACCATTTAGAGAAGTTGAAAATATCTTGGTCAGGATGCATTTTACGAGGTAAAACTGATGATTCACCTAAGCAAGCACAACTATTTTCCAAGCAGACAACGCTGACAAGATCATTCATTGAGCAGCGTGATCCAAAACTTCCTTCATCGTTGCAAAAACTAGAGCTTGAGGGTTTTCCTGAGATAGATACACCCGGTTGGTTGCGGTCTGGCAATTTGAACAACTTGAAGAAACTTTACATCAGCGGAGGACTATTGTGTAATCTGGACAAAATAGTAGCTACCACAGTTCAAATGTTACAATTTAAGTACTTGAGTAACTTAGAGATGCCTTGGAAAGACATTATGATGTTATTTCCCAATTTGATTTACTTGGAGAAAGTAGAATGTCCCGGCCTCAATTCCTTCCCGTGTGATCAGAATGGTGTTTGGATGAGGAAAGAATGCCATCGATGACAAATGTGGTGGAAGAAGCTACTGAGAGAGGATAGGAAACCTCATTCTATTATCTTCCCTTTCTACTTTTAGGCTGGCAAATTAATGTCTTCAAAGGCGTAGTTTGTTTAGGCGCATCACAGTCCGGAGTGGACTGTGATGGATGAACGGTATATATAGCTCATGTTTGTTTTGTGTTGTGGCCTCCGGATTGTTAGCCCGTTCAGACTGGGATGGGTCTTGGGCGAGGTTATTAGAAATTCGAGGTGAAAGATGGTATTAGCAAACTAGTCCGTTCAGATTGGGTGTTTCCGGATGTCCGCTCGGAAGTCCGGCCGGTCATCCGGTCAACTTAAATTTTTTTTTTTTTAACTTGTTGGGCTTTTTTAGTTAACATTAATGTTTAATATTTTTGTATTTTTTGTTAAGTAAAAATCATAATTTTATTTGTTTTATTATTTTATATTTATTTTATATAAAAATAATTTAACAATCCCCTCACTAACAAAACAAACACAATTTTACTAATCCCCTCACTATGAAAACAAACACAATTTTACTACTGAAAATGAGTGGGGGCTCTAATTAGAGCTACCACTAGTGATGTGGCAGTGGGTCCCACCCACTGCCACAGTTTATATTGTGTCTTTTTTTTTTTTTTTTGCTTTGCCACCTCATTAGTGGTGGATTTAGAGTCACTAAATTAGTGGTCTCTAGGACCACCGTTTTACTAATCCCCTTACTATCAATCTCCTCACTATTAATCCTCTCACTATCAATGTCCTCCTTTCTATCACTGAAAACAAACGGGGCCAAAGATAGTATATAGTAATTTTCCTCTATCATGAAAAACTAGTTGTACATATTTATTTATTGAATCAAATGTATATGTCTTGAAGGTCATTCATTAAGGCTTCTTTGCAAGTTTTCAATAAAGTTGCATTTGGGTAAGGCAGAGCATGTCTTTATTGGTAATTTTTTCTAAGGGGAAATTACAAAAAAAAAAAAAAAAATCAGAGTTTGAATTTTGTAAAAAAAAAAAAAACAAGCTTTAATTTTTAATTTTATCAATTTAAATTCTAATTTTTTGATTTGTTTTTAATCTAAACCATCGACCTACTTTCCTATAAGTTACAATGAAAGATATTTTATCAGTTTTGAAGAATTCTTGATTTCAAATGAGTTTTTTTTTTGAAATTTAAATTTAAACTTTTATCTAAATGTATAATTTATTACACGTCTTTAACTTTGTACTAAATAATGCTGAGTTTTAATCTTCCATTGCCCTTCATTTTTCTCGCATTAAGTTATATTCAATAGTTCAGTTACTTTACACATTAACATTTTTACTATGTGAATGTGATGGAATTTAGTGAACTATTTAAAAGGAATATATATAAAAATTTAAAAGATGGGAGTGATAGGTATTGGTATCATTGTGAGAGATTTCATGAGAAATGGCATCAAGCAGCGAGAGAATTGCAAATGAATATGTTGTAGACAACATTAAAGTAGTTAGGGCGTTCGAAGTTGTGTCTTTTGCCAATGGCTTGAATTTGTTGCGTACAGGCTAAGGAATATTTACTTTTAACCAAACAAATTTGTTTTAATGAAGAAAATTTCTAAATCTATTGGGAATCATACAAGCTGAGAGTAGTTTCTTTTAACCATACAAATTAGTTGTAATGAAGAAAATTTCTCATCTATTAGGAATATCATTGTTGATCTGATATTAAAGAGTGGATGAGAGTTTTAAATCTGCTTGTATTCATGACAAAATGCTAGGAAATGAAATTGCTCATCTATGGTCACTTTGAATGGAAGAGGTTCTAATTTAGGTTGTTTCTTGTGTCCATTCTGATTTTGTCTGTATTTTATAAATGAAATCATTTTTCTACATAAAAAGATTTTTTTTTAATTCTTTTACGCGTTGTTTTTAAATCGTTACAGCAGTAAAAGACTTCCATCATTCCATACATTTTCATCCATGGAATTTATTAGTACAATTCCTACCTTATTTACATCTCTAAAATTTCTAACATATTCATATTTCATTGAAACCCAATAAATATGTTTTCCACTACAAAATCACTTGGGTCTCCACAAAGAACAAATGAGGGTAATTTAATTAATAAAATTACAACTTTTTCCTTTCCCTGAGCAAGGCCAAAGGTTTCTACTGAAGCATAGCCATAATAATAATAGTTTAAAAAAAAAATAAATAGAAAAAGCTAAGAGAGATAGTTGTCTTGCAATATATGACCTTCAAATCACTCATGCCAGTTCCAATAATCCTTTAGGCTTCGTCAAAATCATTTAAAAACCTATATTTCAACCAAAAGAAATATGTCAATGTGAAATGTAATTCAAAAAAAAACTGATGCTGATTACCACAAAAGTATAAACTCCATCTATGTAAAATTTTAACATATATAATGTAGTAAATATTTTCAGTAAAATTCTCTAACAATTCTAACCCCAACAAAAAATCTGATTCTAGCTTAATAAATCAGATTCAAGCTCCCCAAACAAAGATTTGAAGATGTCAAGGCAAAAAATTAAAATAAAAGACTCGTCAATGGACCTGCACAGCCCTTTCAAACCTCCAAAACCTGAAAATTTTCCAATTGAAAACAAAAATACAATATCCATGTTTACAAAGATTGACTAATAAAATAACCATGTCTGCTATAACGGTAGCTAAGATGCTATTTTTCATTCATTTCTCCCAGCTATCACGGAGAAAAAAAAGCTAGTATGAAGATGGCATCTGAACATGATAGAAATTAAAGAAATATAAATGCAAGGTGAGTGGACACATACAGGCATAGCAATAACCCTAAGTCCTAACATTATCAGTAGCATTTCAATTTTGAAGTGATAAATTACAATTTACAATAAGACACTTGGTCTGCTTACTTTTTTAAAAAAATGTACCTAACATTAATATCAACCCCAAAGTCAACAACCCTCCTCCACAATACAAAAACAAATATACTATTCCTAAAACAAATCATTTTAGAAAGTTAAGTAATCTGAGTGTTCCAGCTAAAAAGTTAAGTAATATGAGTTTTCCAGCTAATTCATAAAATACAAAAACAACAAATCTCATCAAGCAAAGGATACCGATTAATGTAATTCACTAACAACATACCAATAACATACCAAAGGGCACTAACTAATGCACTCCAAAAAAAAAAAAATTCTTATCTAACTCTCACCAACAACATACCAATGGCATGGAAATTCAATAAAACCAAAGGACACCAACTAATGTACTCCAAAAAATGTACAACAAACAATAAAAAACCAAAATATCTAAATATAAACAATTATTATGAAACCAACTCTACTTTGACAACTGTTAGTTTGCGATTGTTTCTCTATCTTTGTATGGTTCTTCTCACAACAACAACAAACTAAACTTATCTCGATAATAAAAAAAAGAACCACCAAAAATGCGTGAATACCTTATTTTGATATCATTGAAGCATATAATTCTACCATTTGAATATATTGTTTGTGAACTATTTTATTTCTCTCATTTGGTGTTATGATGAAGTGCCAGAGCATGGGAAAGTGCTGGAAGAGATTTCCCTTTCCATGACAGGTAAACTTAATAATTTCTTTAATTATATATATATATATATATATTTTAAAAGGGTCTGTTGGTTTATTCTAAGCTTACCTCAATGCCTCCCAGGTAGCGAATGTGTAGTGTTTATCTTTTTTATTTCAACTTGAAATAGGAAAGAGTTGGACAATGGAGAGAGATCAATCGATTGATTTCCACTAGGAGCAACTGAATCTTAACCAAAAGTAGTGATCTAAAATCTGTTACATATAAAGAAAATAGATCGGAAAGCAAAGTATGCAAATCAACTTTGAAAACAACTAGGTGTGCAATTCCAGTTTCTTTGTGGTTGTTCAGTATTTTGCAAAACATTAAAGTGGACTGGAACTGCAATTCTACTACCAAAATCTAATTACTCACCAATATCACTATAAAAGTACTATCATGCACCATTCCAATACGCACTGTCACTCCATTCAACCAAATCTTTCAACCTGTATTCATTACAATACATAGTGCCTCTCACCAAATCCCAATTCCCCTCATCTTGAACACTGTTAAATAATTATAAAAGTGGATGTATAAGTCACCATGTTTAATGAAAACAAGAGGGGAATTTGAAATTGTCCCTCAATTTCAAAGTCAATTAACTGAAAAAATTCAAATCCTAACCATGAACATAAAGAAACCATTAATTTGAAAACATCTTTTAAATAAATAAAAAAAAAACCCAATTAACTGATGAATTTACCTTTTATAGCTGTGAATTTTATAAAGTAAAAATAAAACAAAGTAAGTTTCCATCTTTCTCTCTATAACCATAACTTTTCCATTTAAAACAAACAAAAAGACAATTTTATAAAAAGAAAACAACAAACATGATAATAAACAACAACCAACATCCACGGACACATGTCCGGATCACTGTACAACAAGGGTAAACCTGAGATCGCTATAAAAACAAAGTAGCAATCTTTCGCAAATCAACAATAGCTAAAGATACAATATTAAATATTAAATAATAAATAACCTATCTTCATAATTGTGCCTAATTGGTGAGCATACGAGATTGTGTTTCTCATTGTAAACTTAAATTTCAGAACATGAAACTTCATATTTCGGATCATCTACCATGTATATCATCAAGAAAACAAGACTAAAACTTACCCGAATCCATCGATGAACGGTTAAACGAAAGTGTCTGATTGTCAATAAAACCTTTGATATTGACTTTGTTAAAGCCTTCTAATCCTTTCTCTTTGGTGCCTTATGTTTCTCCTTGAGAGGATTTAGAAAAACAAACAGTGTTTTTATTTTTTTCCACCTTAGGAAGGAATAGGGACCATAACCTTTTAAAGGTTGTAATTGGTTTTCATAACTGAAAGATAATGAAAACCAATAAATTAACCATTATTGGTTTTAAAACTGAAAGGTAATGAAAACCAAA